AGTCGGTATTTGAAGGAGTTTTTGATGGGAACGGGTCGAGTTACTTTATTGCTTAAGGTTATCATACGTAGTTGTACGTAACCCTGAGATAACAAGCCATTTCGGGACACCTGACGTAGTGCAGAGCCTCAAGCTTCAGTTCATACATTGTTCGCCTTCTAGCTTGATGCTAGCGTGGCGCCACCTGCCATCACCAGAGTCAAGCAGTTTTCGTACATTGTTTTTATCCATCAGGAAAGCCCTCAAATTTAGTACGCCAAAGCACAACTGTTGTGAATGGGGCGGGAACACTCGTCTAGGGTTGAGGGCCCTCTACGGCAGAATTCCATTAACGCGCATGTACGCGTTGGATGAAAAGCTGCCCACTTTTGTGCCATTTCGACGGTCCAACAGTTGGCGCGGTGCGCCCCCAGTCATGGTCGCGCGGTCCAATGGAACGATTCGAGTTGCGAAGTATGAACGCCACTTAGTCGACCGCGAACGTGCGCACACTAAGTGACGGAACCGTCCGCCTGCGTCGTCGTACACTGCGCCTGTAAGCCATAAAACTTTTTTCAGTAAGAAAGGACCATGTCAGGTCTTCTGACAATAAAATTTCTTAACTTGCCCTAAGTTTTTTTTCTTTCGTTACTGTAGTTCATGATGTAGTATATAAATGGTACAGGCTCCTATAATCGTCATTTTCTGTATCTCTACAACTGAAAGGGATCTCAATTGACTATTCCAATCTGTTAAAATAACGTTCATACTTCGTGTCAACATAATAGCATAAGCCATCATTGTACGCTGATATGTGCTTGCGTTCGCTCAAAACACTGAATCGGCACCTATACTTTAGTAATCGCTGAAGACGCTGTTGCACGAAAGCGCTGACGCAAAGTATGAACACTTTCTTGCCAGCTCTCTCAGCTTTTTTGCACAGTTTGTTACATATAGACTTCTCGTGTCAAACTCACCCATAGATTGATTCATTTTTCTTCCCTTTCCTTTCTTTTTTTCTTTTCTCTCTTTTTTCAGTGCCTGATGTTCCCATTGCCCATTGTTATTTATTTTTTCAGAATAAAGATAAAAACTCGTCAGTTTTTGTAATGAACGTGAGGTTTGATCCTCGCTATCTTCAGCTCCTATTCTATCGCTTTTATCCGAAATTTTTGAATTTCGGCCAACATTTCAGTTAATGCACTATGTGCGAGCTTGAAGAGTATCTACGAATATGCATGCTGTATGAGTTCAAACTCGGTCGTACCGCATGTGGTGCATATAGGAACTTGATTCGGGCATATGGGGAGGGTTCAGTTGCCCGAAGTACGGTACTGAGATGGTTTGCAAAATTTCGTCGTGGAATTCAAAGCCTTGAAAATGGGACACATACGGGTCTTTCGAAGGTCCTAGACGATGATGAATTGGAGGATACAATCAGGGAAAATCCAAACATTACCCAAGCCGAGTTATCGAAGATGTTTGGAGTTGGCGCAGCAACAATATCTAAACATTTAAAGAGGATAAAGACCGGAGCGAAGATGAAGTTTATTGGACATAAGAAGCGTGAAGAGGTCTGTTCTGGATATGGTATAATATGGTAGCCATACCCTATTCGGGTTTACATATTCTTTGCTTTCCTCATAAGACGCAGAGAGAGTATTTTACTGGATATTGATTGGTGATGAGCATCATGTACAATTTCTGCCTCCTACCATACTGGAGCGCCAAGGCTGTTTGCATACCCTGCAACGTGGGGTTTTGGGAGAATCTAAGGCTGCATTCATACTTTGGGTCATCGTTTTGAGCGTACAGCAGCCTTTTGGATGTTTCACGGGTAATTGACCGTTTGAGAGTAGTCATCAAAAAGCTACCGTGCGCTAAATCGATATCTTTACTTTTCTAATCGCTCGAAAAGCTCAAAACGCTGACACGAAGTATGAACGCAGCCGTGAGAGAACCGGTGTTCTGAACGAATTGAGCGAAAAGGATAGCATGGGGATCGATCGGCGCCGGTCGTCAGCATTTTGGGAGAATCAGCTTTCCGAGCGAATAGGTTTTTTTGGGATTCGATACCTATACTATCCTTTCTGCTCAGAATGGCTTAGAACGGCTTCACGCGTTAATTATCCCCTTCCTACCAAACCACCGGGTCCGATCCCGAACGTTAGCCAGTCACAATGCTCCCAACTGTCTATAAGCTGAGTGTAGGATGTAGAGGCATCCAACGTCAATATCGAATTAGGAGCTGTAGTGATTAAATCCACTGTTTCCAGCCGATTGAAGCAGCACGATTGATCGCGGAATCCAGACAGCCGAACTATTACCCGTACACTGGTGAAGACTTCAGTTATGAGCCTTTGCTTCGAGAAATTTTCATCTGATTCACTTCAGAGCCTCCCCCTCCACTCACAGTGTTACGGAGCCTTAAAGAACAACCTGAGGATCGACCTCAAGAGACGGTTAAAAAAGCTGAACCGACTCGACCTGTACTCGTTGCTGTTAAGACGGATGTCGGTGAGAGTAGGGTCGTAGACAGTTGCAATTAGAAAATATTCTTCATCTCCAGTTTTTTTTCCACTCACAGGACTTGTGATTGCGAGACAATTTCAGGAGCTGCCATAATTGGTGGTTTGGAAAGCCTCGAAAGCGGTGACGCTGCCAAAGTTTTTATTTCTGATGAAGAACAAGAAGATGAAGAGGTGGATGTATTAGAAGGTAAGATATGCTCTCGAAACTTGTTAATTTATAGTGCACTACCACGAGGCAAGGATTTCATCACGCCGCTCCATGCCCCTCCTACCCATAGTAGTGCTGTCTATTTTCATGATGTTTATATTTGTTTAT